TATGGAAATTTCGATTTATCTCTGTAAGTATGCATATAGACAGCAACTGATCTGACCTTTCGCCAGTGAAGAGGAAAGCTCGATTCAAACGTGGGAGTCTGTCAGAATTTGCTGATTTGCGATAATTTCCTGCCGACGTTACAAACCAAGTAAGTGTCGTTTCTGTTCAACTTGTGTCTTGACTTGGTTGTATACGAAAGTTTTTCTTCATATTTGTCTTTTCTGTGGCCTTCGTACTTAGTCCTTTTTACTTCTGTACTTAGCACATAATCATACTTAGTACTTTTTAAAGTAAGCATCGAGTTTCTTTTATTCTTTTAATATTGACACAGTTCATCTTGACTATGTTTGTCAATTTCTTCATCATCATCAGCATCTTATTTCTTCATCATTGGTAAGATTTTGTACCAGTATAGTGCAGCTACTAAAAGGCCATGAAACCGCGATTTGCTTAAGCACGAGAAAAGAACTTCGTAGCTATTGGATTGCCCAACCTTTTTATGCGGTCAATTTTAGCAACTTCGTTTTCATGAAATTATCGGTGGTAGAGGTAACCTCAGTTTCCACGTTATCAGCTGGGGTATCTTTTTTTAAAGGTAAAATGGAACCTTCTGTGTGACGTAGTGTTTATTGTGCTCTTTCCTTCCCACAACGACTGCGGTCAGTTGTAGACTATGGTGCAATATTGAAAGGAAGGTCGTCTTTGCGGTCCAAGGGGCCGGGTTCGAATCTGAAGAGGGAATTTCTTTGAATAAGAAATTTATCCTACGTTGCCTCGGCGCAACCAGATGTAGTTTCAGATGAGTTTCTCCCTTGTGGCTGCATTTTGACTTGACCACCTAATAATTGACCATTTTGTGTGATTCTCAACAGAGTGTAGTCGGTGTAACCAAATAAAAGAAGAAGGCGGTGTTTTATGCATTTGTTAACGATTAATATATGTCATTGCATTAGCAGAGCTTATCTGGTTTGTGATTTACATGATATTTTGAGCTTTATGACATTTTTCCTATAAGGCAACGGTTGAATCATCGTAGGTGGCGCCATTTTTCACTGATCATGAATCACTCCTGTCTTGCTCATTCTTGTAATATTCTGGCAGTTGGTGTGCCTCTGCTTCTTCAGTTTGACAAGCCAGAGCTGCGTTGGGTTGGGTACATGTTGCGAATACTTTTGAAAATAAAGCGAAGGAGCTACAAGTTGCTTAAGCGACAGGGCAAACACCCATGCGTAGCCAAGAATAGCCTTAATCAAGTGTCCGGAAAGACTTAACTTCAGCCGGGATTATCGTCTGCCGAAGCTCAAGCGCTGATATTGAATTGGGAGTGTTGGAAATTGTCTGACGTGTATGCCTCCGCGGCCTGAAAGGACAAGTGATCATTGAAACTGACAAGCTGACTGACTGACTTCGTCACTGAGTTGTTATCCGTTGTTAAGAAGTTAGCAAGGGGCTTGATTCCAGTGGCACAGTGAAGCAGATGTCTATTGTTAGGTGCTGGGCGAGTCGCATGGAAGACGGTTTGAAATTTTCTTATTATAATTGCCAGCTTCTCTGAGAGAGGAAATTTTCCTCACTGTGCTTTAGTGTAACCAGTCAAGAAACAGGTAGCAAGTATCTTAAGTTGATTTACGGTATAGTCACCCCAACAGAAAATATACGACAAACGGCCATGCTCTCTGATACCTACATCTAGCGTCGTTTGCAGTTTGCGTTTGCCCAACTGATAGCTGATTAATAGCTAGCACAATTGTGACCAGAATATTAACTGAAAAAGTATGTGAACGGATTTCACCGTGCTTTTTATGCAGATTGATATGGACGTACTTCCCCACCCCTGGTCCTCCTCCTAGATCGACCGACGTTGAAATTCACAGAATTGCCAGTCAATTCCGAATGCCTTTGGCATGTTAAACTATCGTTTCATAAAAGTCATCACGATCAAGGAACTTATGCAGAACCGTATTTTGCCCCCTTATACTATCCCGTCATTGCAAGCTGTGCGCAACATGGACAAGACCAAGATCAAGGATTTATGAATTACAGTAGAAATCCGAGTTACGTTTCGTTAGTGGTAATTAGCTCTTAATGTACGGCGAATTAGCAGTACTCGCCACTGTGAATCGACTAATGCAGTCGGAGTCCTTGGCGTTTCATTTCGTCTCTTATATTGTCCCGTGATTTACGTTCATCCAAGAACGCAGTCACGTGTTATTCAGCATTAATGTATTCAAAACATGGTTTGCTCTTAAAGCTCCGCTGCATATGATCGGTTCATGCATGATATTTATTAGAAATTATCTAAAATTGGTCAAATAACGAGCTAATGAGCCTCGGGAAAAAACACACCGGAGACGATCGACTAAACAGATAGAGAAATTATAAAAAATTTATTTATTTTCTGTTCATTATTCGGTAAAATGTAGGCGCTTATCGGTTCCATTTGGAGAATACATATGTACTATTGTACCTGTGAAATATGCGAGGAATTGATCATGGTATTTTGTGTGCTTGTGATGCAGGGTGGGGTACAAGGATAGAATTTAGCGCGTGACATTTGGTTCTGCTGCCGTGACCCCTTTAGAATATGGTCAACAGCTTTCCTTTTGGCTTAAGACTTAGGTCTTACGATAGGACACTTTTCTGCCTCCGTTAAAATGATAAAGTATGCTACCCTTCGCAGTGATTCGCAGTGTTGGCCTTGTTAATCGAAAATCTCTGTAATGGAGCATTATTAGTAGTTATCTGTTACTACTATTAATGCTGTAAAGATGTAATTATATTGTGTTTGCAGTATACTTTTCGACACATTTTTAGACTATGTTGATATTACGTGTATTGACCAATAAATATACATACTTTGGAGACGATTTTAATTTTAATTCCTGCAGAGCTGACCAATTAACATTATTTTGACTTGATGCCGAAGAATCATAGCGCTATATATTCTTCAGTCAATCGTATTCTCCCAGTATTTCGGCAGACCTCCTACGAGTGATAACTGTAATTGTTATCTTCATTTTGCACGTTCTGTTCTTAAGCTCATTCCTGGTGCGGTACGGCTTTGACGATATTCCTTCTGTTCCAAGAGTGATTAGGCAGAATCGTCGGGTTCATATCTTCTCCATTTGGACACATGTCGTGTCTTAAAATGTTTTTCAATTTTTTCAGCTTGGTGCGGATCGTTGAAAATCCGACTAATCGGGGTTGTGCAATTTTTACCAACAAGAGAGGAAGGGCAGAACCTGGCACCTGAAAGACTGAAGGTAGATTCCACAGCGATTGATTCGGACATTGGCCAGGATTGCTCAGTCGTTAGATTGTCAAATTCATAACCAACTGATTTCGAGTTCAAGCCCAGGTCAGACACTCGTCGTTCTTCCTTCCATGGCTGATAAAAGAATATCACTCTCTGGGAAAGAAATGCAAACGCGACACTTTATACTTTAAAATGAAGCATTCCTGGCCGATAATGTAGAAATGGAGATCAGCACGCCACATTGCCTTAGTCGACGTCTTTTTTATTCTCGATGTGAATGTTTTCGGAGAAAGAACGCACTAGAAGTCATCACTTTATGCATCACCATTATCATCGTGATCTCTATCAGTAATAACAGCCCCGCTTTCATCATCATCATCGATATCGATATGCCATCAATACTGCCATCAGTCGTCGGTATCATTGTTGCAGGCACTGTCATTATTGTGAGAACTACGTCATCTTTTTTGTTGTTGTTCCCATCATCGCTCTCACAGTCATAGCTTTGGTTATCACAGCCATTTTCAAAAACAGCGGCATCGTCGTCGTCATCGTTTTTACAGTCATCAACGTCGTTTCGTCGTTATCATCCTTATCAACGTAATTGCCCTCATTGTCATTGTTGTCTTTTTCAATATCGAGAGAACCGTTGCCATCATCATCGTCGTCGTTGTTATCACTTTCACTAACACACTAGTCATCACCGGCACTACCACCATCATAAGTAATAATTTAATTCGTACCGTCGTTATCGTCAAGAGCATAACCACCCATAACCGTATCGCGCGCTCTATCACTGTTGTTACTGTAATCTTCATCACTACTGAGATTGTCAGTGTGATCGTCATATGCCTCAACTTCATTGCGGAACTGGGCGTTATTGTCATGTCACGAATTTCATGAATATGTTTTCTATGTTCTCTCTCTATGTATTATACTTTTTTGGGAAAAGGCATTTTGAAACATCAGCTGTGCTGTATGTTTGTTAGGTTGGTCTCGTTTCTGCACATGACTGTCTTCGTGGCATAAGGCCGGTGGTAATTGCTAACATTAATACAACTAGTTGTAACAACCATTCAGTGCGTATCAGTCTTTCACGTAACGTACTGGCCGTCTTCCATTTATGATTAACCTTCAGGAGTAGCTTAGTGGTTTAATCGCCAGCAGTTCTGACGTATTTTACATCAAGCGGTTCCTCGCGTTTGGTGTTATTCACCTCTTATGACGAAAACGAGAAGATGGACGTTAGGAAGCAGTTATTTTTTCCTTTTCTTTTTTTTTTCAAGGCAGCAACTTTTGGGCACAGGCCTAATGTTTAGTCTCATGTTTGGCATCAGGATTGAGTTTTGCACCCTTTGCGCACTTCCCTTCAAACGGCATTTGTCTAATTTGCTAGTTATGGATGAAAAGGACGATATTATCTCTTTGTTTTGTGAATAACAGAAGTATTTTCCACCGTTTTCTCAAGGCATTTAATGGCTTATAACGACCGCTTAACTTAACTCTGATTTCGAACAACAAATTCGAAGAAAAACATTGCTTATAAACTGCAAGTGTAAAATAAACGGCGGTTACGAATCTGATTGGAACATCAAAGGGTCAGTTTAAATTACAGTACCATAAATTATTTAGTTTAAACTTTAAACATGGCGGTTGTCGTTCGTTTGTGCTTGTTGTTTCATGCAGCGTTGAGCCAGTGAAACTTACTGTTTTAAAACTGCTGGCAGTTCGTTGCGTTTGGCGATGCTTCCAATTTTGAGTGCTGTTTTTGGTTTGTTTCTGATCGTATTCGTTCATCGTGAGATAGTGAGGGACGGTCGCGGAGGATTTCCCTTCGTGCAGCAGCTGCTGGAGCTGATTGACGATGAACTGGGGTTGAAACTGGCTACCCGCAGATCGCACCCTCGTCGCAAGGAACACAACAGCGGGGCTTCCAAGCGAGGGCACCGGCGTCACAGAAGGCACCGCAGTTCGGCGTCGATGAGTGCCGACCAACCGGAAGCTACGTCTATTAAAAACATGAACAGCCTCCGTAGGTCGTTCGAAAAGTATGCATCGAAGAAGAGGAAGACACCGAATGGGAAACGACAGAAGTTTTGGTCGAAATTGCTGAAGTACAGCAGTTTTTCAGATGGGTCTGAAAAGAGATGGTTCGGTACTGGCAAGAACAAAGGACAACAGACAGAACCTTCAAGAAATAAGCCGAAGAGTCCGAACCTCGAGCAACGACATCTGACATGCAGTGCCGCGACGCCCCACCGTCACCATCATTACCGTAACAGCAGGCGCGCTGAGCGTGATATCTGGCCTTCGAATAAAGCGATAGTTTCAGCCTAGTTAATAACGACCTTACCAACAGCTTCATCCAGCCATCGCGAGATAAGTGTACTATACTTAAATAAGATCTGAAAGATGACAATGTTTGGAACGAAGCAATACAATCAATGGAAGTTTTCGCTGATACAGTAGCCGTTTTGGGACATCTCCTAATGTCGAGAAAGTACGATGCGATTTGAATGAACACTTTGCGTGGAGACAGAACTTGACAGTCAAAACCGTTACCAGTTATATGAATAGATTTCAAACCCCGCTTTGTTGTGAAATGAAATCGTAAATATTTAAACGGCTAAAATAGTGAAAAAAAATGTTTGTTTAGTGAAGTCGGAGCTTGGTGTCGCGATTGTTCCTTCATCTTAAATAAAGTACAAAAGTAAAAAGAAAAGAAGCATCATAAAAACGACAAGTGATATATGCAACTATATGAATCGTTGGAAGGAAGTAATACTGGAAAAATGTCAAATCAATTAAATATCAAATGATCTGGTTACATTGTAAAGTTTCTTAACTTCAGTACCAGATGGCTGGTGCACAACATCCTTCATCACGCAACACATAGTACTAAAGAAGACTGGAAGAACAGACAGCATTTTCAACACACTTGCAGTGAAAGATCTGCTTTCAACATTTCAAGTGGTGTTCAAATCAAGGATTTTGCTTTCAAGATTAAATTGACGATAAGAAGTTTGGCATTCCTACCTTCACTTGGAATTGAAGTTATATTCACCTTCTTTTTTCATCTCATGCTAATGTTTCGACGGAGTTGAGGGGGGTGTCAGTGTCGCAACTGGTTAGTACTTTGCGTTGTACGTTAGAACGCGGTTTCAAACGCGACGCTTGGCGTAAGATTTCTCTGATTAACTGCTAGTTTCTTTGAGCAAGAAATTCACCCACTGTGCTTCAGTGCCACCAGCCGAAAAACAAACGGTAGCAGGTGCAAACATGGGAACATATCGGAGGCGTGCGTTTTGCAGTTGTTATTTGCTTTGACCCACCTGACGACTGACTGAACAGACATCAGCATTAGGTTTAAATGTGAATTTTAATAATGAAAGAACCGTAACGTCCATCTATAAATCTAATATAATTGAGTCAGTCAGTTTGGAGACTGGTTGTCATTTTTCATCTCTGGTCTATGCAAGAGCGGAGATGAAAATCGACTGCAACACTGGCAGAAATTTTTCCACCTGTTCCATTGTTACTCCGTCTAATCA